TAGTGGGCCAGCTACTGCCATCTTACTGTCCTCACCTGACCATAGTGGGACAGCTGCTGCCATCCTACTGTCCTCACCTGACCATAGGGGCCACGTGCACTGCCACTACATAGTGTTCCTCTTTCTCACTGACCATAGTGGGTCAGCTGCTGCCATCCTACTGTCCTCACCTGACCATAGTGGGCCAGCTGCTGCCATCTTACTGTCCTCACCTGAGCATAGTGGGCCAGCTACTGCCATCTTACTGTCCTCACCTGACCATAGTGGGCCAGCTACTGCCATCTTACTGTCCTCACCTGACCATAGTGGGCCAGCTGCTGCCATCTTACCGTCCTCACCTGACCATCGGGCCAGCTGCTGCCATCCTACTGTCCTCACCTGACCATAATGGACCAGCTGCTGCCATCTTACAGCCCTCACCTGACCATAGTAGGCCAGCTGCTGCCATCTTACTGTCCTCACCTGACCACAGTGGGCCAGCGCTGCATCTTACTGTCCTCCACTGACCATAGTGGGCCAGCTGCTGCCATTCCTACTGTCCTCACCTGACATAGTGGGCCAGCTGCTGCCATCTTATTTCCTCACCTGACATAGTGGGCAGCTGCTGTCATCTTACTGTCCTCACCTGACCATAGCGGACCAGCTGCTGCATCCTACTGTCCTCAACTGACCATAGTGGGTCAGCTGCTGCCATCCTACTGTCCTCACCTGACCATAGTGGGCCAGCTGCTGCCATCTTACTGTCCTCACCTGACCATAGTGGGCCAGCTACTGCCATCTTTCTGTCCTCTGACCATAGTGGCCAACTGCGCCATCTTATGTCCTCAGATGCCATCGTGTTTGCCATTGCTGCTGCCATCCTACTGTCCTCACCTGTATCCATAGTGGGCCAGCTGCTGCCATCCTACTGTCCTCACCTAACCATAGTGGGCCAGCTGCTGCCATCTTATTGTCCTCACCTGACCATAGTGGGCCAGCTGCTGTTATCTTACTGTCCTCACCTGACCATAGCGGACCAGCTGCTGCCATCCTACTGTCCTCAACTGACCATAGTGGGTCAGCTGCTGCCATCCTACTGTCCTCACCTGACCATAGTGGGCCAGCTGCTGCCATCTTACTGTCCTCACCTGACCATAGTGGGCCAGCTGCTGCCACCACTGTCCTCTACCTGCCATAGTGGGTCAGCTGCTGCCATCCTACTGTCCTCACCTGACCATAGTGGGCCAGCTGCTGCCATCTTACTGTCCTCACCTGACCATAGTGGGCCAGCTACTGCCATCTTACTGTCCTCACCTGACCATAGTGGGCCAGCTGCTGCCATCCTACTGTCCTCACCTGACCATAGTGGGCCAGCTACTGCCATCTTACTGTCCTCACCTGACCATAGTGGGACAGCTGCTGCCATCCTACTGTCCTCACCTGACCATAGTGGGCCAGCTGCTGCCATCTTACTGTCCTCACCTGACCATAGTGGGCCAGCTACTGCCATCTTACTGTCCTCACCTGACCATAGTGGGCCAGCTGCTGCCATCCTACTGTCCTCACCTGACCATAGTGGGCCAGCTACTGCCATCTTACTGTCCTCACCTGACCATAGTGGGCCAGCTGCTGCCATCTTACTGTCCTCACATGACCATCGGGCCAGCTGCTGTTATCCTACTGTCCTCACCTGACCATAGTGGGCCAGCTGCTGCCATCCTACTGTCCTCACCTAACCATAGTGGGCCAGCTGCTGCCATCTTATTGTCCTCACCTGACCATAGTGGGCCAGCTGCTGTCATCTTACTGTCCTCACCTGACCATAGCGGACCAGCTGCTGCCATCCTACTGTCCTCAACTGACCATAGTGGGTCAGCTGCTGCCATCCTACTGTCCTCACCTGACCATAGTGGGCCAGCTGCTGCCATCTTACTGTCCTCACCTGACCATAGTGGGCCAGCTGCTGCCATCCTACTGTCCTCACCTGACGATAGTGGGTCAGCTGCTGCATCCTACTGTCCTCACCTGACCTAGTGGGCCAGCTGCTGCCATCTTACTGTCCTCACCTGACCATAGTGGGCCAGCTACTGCCATCTTACTGTCGTCACCTGACCATAGTGGCCCAGCTGCTGCCATCCTACTGTCCTCACCTGACCATAGTGGGCCAGCTACTGCCATCTTACTGTCCTCACCTGACCATAGTGGGTCAGCTGCTGCCATCCTACTGTCCTCACCTGACCATAGTGGGCCAGCTGCTGCCATCTTACTGTCCTCACCTGAGCATAGTGGGCCAGCTACTGCCATCTTACTGTCCTCACCTGACCATAGTGGGCCAGCTACTGCCATCTTACTGTCCTCACCTGACCATAGTGGGCCAGCTGCTGCCATCTTACTGTCCTCACCTGAGCATAGTGGGCCAGCTGCTGCCATCTTACTGTCCTCACCTGACCATAGTGGGCCAGCTGCTGCTATCTTACTGTCCTCACCTGACCATAGTGGGCCAGCTGCTGCCATCTTACTGTCCTCACCTGACCATAGAGGGCCAGCTACTGCCATCTTACTGTCCTCACCTGACCATAGTGGGCCAGCTACTGCCATCCTACTGTCCTCACCTGACCATAGTGGGCCAGCTGCTGCCATCTTACTGTCCTCACCTGACCATAGTGGGCCAGCTGCTGCCATCCTACTGTCCTCACCTGACCATCCAGGCACCCTCCTCCCCCCCCCAATCATGCGTCATGGCGTCATGCATAATACAGGCATAATATTTATACTACTCACATCATTATGCAAGAAAATGCATACATGCTTGAAAACGTATGCACATTCATACATAAATACATGCAGACATACACATGCATACACATACACAATACATACACACACATTCATTAAGCAAAAGTAGGGAATATGCATGTATATATTTGCACATGCATTCACACACACGTATACATGTGCACAAGTATACATACGTGCATGTACAAATAGGAGTATCATGCGCAAATGTACTTATACACAAGTATGCATATGCATAAGTATATATCTGTACACACATACTCAAGAAATTACATATTTTTACACATATATACATACATGTGCACAGATTCTGTATATATATACATACGTATGCAAATGAAAATGTGTGTATACATACAGGAATACATATACAAAAGCGTACATACATATATGTATACATTTTCATTTTTTTTGCATTAGAACTTAATGACCGTTCTCCAGGTTTCTGTTTGAGAACACTGAGGTGGAGCTGGTTCTTGAGAACTAGACATGTATCATGTATCATGTGTCACACCACAACATCTATACTGCGGTGCGGGCTAAAAGGGAACTATCTCCATGGATTGGCTTAGTAAAAATAATAATAATAATAATAATAATAATAATAATAATAATAATAATAATAATATAATAATAATAATAATAATAATCTTTATTTCTACAAGTACATGTACAAAGTATACAGGCCTATGTGACATCAATGACATACTACTATATAGAAAGCCCCTAGTTATGCAGAGCATTTCGGGCAAATTAGGTCAGTTTTGTCCCAGGATGCCACCCACACCATTCAACTAACACCGGTATCTATTTTATTTATAGGTGAACAGGGACAGTAGGTGTCTTAAGGAAATACGTCCTGATGTTTCCAGCTATCTGGTTGGATGATGGTATAGGGGGAGATGTCTGGTTGGATAGGGGTATAGGGAGATCTATCTGGTTAGATAAGGGCAAAGGGACGCATTATATAGCTGCTAGTGCTACAAACCAGGATGGGGTAGTTAAGCAGGTGACGTCCAACCTTTTATATACCTGACCCATCCGCTTCTCCCACTTTTTCTTATCCAGGTGTTTTTGTGCGAAGAAGTTTCTGCCTTAAGATGTGCACTGTTAATCTCCAGACAGATGGACTTTCAAATCGTATCTGGTATAAACAGTGACTTATATCTGCGAAAAAGTCGAATAACTGAAGATTTTCAACACAGGGGAAAAGGCTTTGGGGAGGAGGAAATTGTAGGAGCTGAAGCCCTTCAATATTCCCTTGACTCCAACACTGAAGTATATGAATATCTTTCTTTAATATACAGTTACTGAAATACATCTATATATAAAGTTGGGGATGAATTTTGTATTACATATCGTGGTTCAGTGTCACAGTAGGCAACGCTCTTGGCCTCGCACACTGAGTGGCCGTGGTTCAGTTCTGGGCCGAGTAGAAATGTTGGATGTTTCCTTACACCTGTTGTCCCTGTTCACCTAGAAGTAAGTAGGTGCCTGGGTCTTAGTCGCCTAGTGTGTGTTGTATCCTGGGGACCAAGACTGAAGGATCCAACGAAGATAAGACAAACAGTCCTCCATGACGCACTGACTTTCCTTGGGTTATCCTGGGTGGCTAATCCTCTGGGTTAAAAATCCAAACAAATATTGCCACCAGACCACGGGGCCTGCTGGCAAGAGCTCTCGCTTCACACGATGAATGTCCGGGTTCGATTCCCGGCGAAGGGGTGGAAACATTGGACGTGTTTCATTACACCGGTAGTCTATGTTCATCCATCAGTAAAATAGGTACCTGGGTGTTAGTCGACTGGTGTGGGTCGCATCCTGGGACAAAACTGACCTAATTTGCCCGAAATGCTCTACATAACAAGCGGCTTTCTATATAGTAGTATGTCATTGATGTCAGCTATGGTCTGTATACATTGTACATGTACTTGTAGTAAATAAAGATATTATTACTATTATTATTATTATTATTATTATTATTATCATCATTATAATGATTATTTGTCAAACATACAGACGGTTTACAAAAGTGACCAAGTATGTCGTATATCATAAATCTTTAGAACCCTAAAGGAAATAAATTATTGTACTTGGGTTCATTGTTAACTTATAATAGTTTTGTGCACAATAGAATCATTGCAAAAAAGTAATATATGAAATAGATAATAAAAACCAAATCAATTTGTAAAAATATTCGTAAATTTAACGTGAATAAATGTGTCTTATCTAGAACAAGTATAAAGTGGTACCTTGACGGGTCTCAGGCCGGCCACCAGCACCACCAGAGGCTCAAACTTCTCCGGTAAGTCTTCATGTTTATCTGGTGAATTTGCACCACACTTAGTCCAGCAGTTTTGTATTAGCTTCTCTTGTACCGAAGAGCTGACCGTGGTTTCTCCAGTGAGGTTTTCTTTTGCACTGTTCAGCTCTCTAAAGGGTATGTTATTGTCTATTTTATCTTCTCTCGCGTCTTGGTTGTTTTTTCCTTTTAATTCAAATGTGACGTCGCTGTTATAAGCGATATTTTGTTCATGAGCGTCGTCCAGTGTGGTGAGGAAGGACGACACATTGAAGTCAGGGCAGGGATCAACGACGACTGACTGGGGGACTATGGAAATTCTGTCTTGTTCAAGCGACGGCTGTGAAAGTAAGATGAAAGATTATATATATAAGAATACATAACAACAAAGAAAGATATGATAAAAATAATTTCGGATAAGCTACCAGGATAACCCAGTAAGTTAGTGAGTTATCGGGGACTGTCTTACTTCTAATGGGGTTCCTTTAATTTTGCTTCACAGGATGTGACCCACATCAGTCAAGTAATATCCAGGTATCTGCTTACTGCTAGGTGAACAGGAACAGCAGGTGTAAACAAAACATGCCAAACGTTTCACCCATACCTGGGATCGATCCCAGACCCCCAGTGTGTTAGCTGAGAGCGATACTAACAAATCAATCCACGAGTACCCGTGATTGCAGCAAGCTTACTGGCTCATGCTAGGCAGGTTCAACTCACCCACACCCACTTATGTACTCGACAAAGTTCTCGCTTCATTCATACTAATAGGAAGTTTGTTTCACTCATTCATACGTCTATTGCCAAACTAGTATTTTCCTACATCCTTTCGAAATCTCAATTTTTCTTGGTTAAATATTTTCATCGTGCAATTTATATTCCCCTTTTTTCATTTGTTTTAATTTTATACCTCAATCACATTTCCCATAACTGTATGTGTTTGTAGTTAGCCAATGCTAGTTTAGTGCCTTCAGCCTATCTTCATAGGAAAAGTTTTTAATACATGGAATCAACACTATCCTTCTCTATATATTACTAAATGGTTATAATTATGACCATAACTTATAAAGGGTTGGACCGATCTGAAGTGTTCCTACTATGTAATCATCTGCTTCCTCTCTGTCCATTCGTCTAATCTCCTCAAAACTCCACTGGTATCTGATGAGCACTGCTACTTCTCCTCTGTTCCCTCAGGCTTTAATCAGAATTGATAGCCAATCAGTGAAGATTACATCTGTTATCAACGTAAGACTGATTTGTCTCCGTGAGTGCTATGATATCTGGGGATGCTTCTATGATTCGTTCTTGCCACTCGTTTTCTTTTTCATCTGCATTGGTGTACCATACCTTCAGCTTCTTTCCCATTACTTTAATCCGGTTAGGTGTTAGATCCCTGGTCCTTGATCTGTAAGTCATGGCGGTAGGAGGAGTTGGTGGCAAGTGGAGATACAGAAGGATGGGTGGGATTTGCGAGAGGCTACTGTGCAGGTGATATCTGTGCTGGGAAGAGTGGGGACTGTGGGTGTGGAGGATGGTGTGCTTAAGATTATTGTGCTTGGTTGGAAAGGGGTTGAGGGGGTTCTGTGGGTGTTGTGCTTGGTGTTCCTCCAGAGGTTGAGCATCCATGCCCTATCTCTCCTTCTTGTCTCTGGCGGCTTTGTGCCCTCTCTCTCAGTTGCTCTCGTTTTGTCGTCGTCGAGGTACACTCTGCAGTGTTTTTCTGTCTCTCAATCGTGGTTTCCGCTGAATTATCCATACTATTATCTCATACTATTTTTGTAGTGAGGGTAAATTTTAAGTTGAATGGGCAATTTCTTCCCCTCGAGTACTATGGAAAATTTTATAGGGGTGATTACTTGTACATACCTCAACATTACATGCATACGAGTAATCTCCTTGGGAGACAACAACTATATTGTTTACCGTAGTCACCCGTGTAGACATGTGAGAAAACTTAACCACCTCTGGTCACTGCATGTGGCCCCTCGACCCTCACTATCTTATCCATATCTATCCGAGACCAGTATAAATTGGGTAGCACCCTCAAGTACGGCGCTACTAATTAATTGTGGACTGTATAAATTATATTAGTTTAACTGAATGAAGGGGAGGGGGTAGGTTACACATGGATATATCCATCAAGGAAAAACACTTGTACATAATCCCACCACTTACCAGATATTCTCTGGTGGTCAATTGATGTGGCTGGATCACCCATAACCTATCCAATTAAGACATACCTAACTGGCCAGTATCAGTCTGCTATAACTAGAAAGGTTACTTAACTGTGGGTGATTGATGCTCCTTATTTCCTCCATTCACCATCTCATTTCGATGTCCTGCTACACCGACACGGTTCTTATTCCAGCAGGACGAGGTATCCGTTGGTTTGTCCCAGTTTAGATGTCGTGATTCCATAAAACTTCGCTATCCTCGGGACTAGAACCACGCGTTCACTCGGAGCAGGGCGATTTATTTCACTTCCCGCATTCTCTTAACTTAATGCTATTATCACTGATTACATTACCATTCACAAGACGATTTAACGTCTCATAATTATTATACACATTAGAGGTCACTCCATTAAGATCTGAGACCGATGAGTGAGGATTAACTCACGGGTAATTTCCCCTGGACACATTCCATGGCGGCGCACCCGTCACCCCCGGTCCTACTATTATCCACTCATTTTACCACTTATTACGGTGGTCACGTAAATCACGTTCCCTCACTCTTCACCAGGAACAGTTACGACACTTCCTATTACGAAGTGAGGCCTATATTAATCCTTAGGCCACCGTGAATGCCAATTTCCTGATCCCATGTTTCACAGCTTCCTCACTACATTCAAAACACTGCCACCTCCTTGTGCCCCAGCTCGACCTATACCCCCGCACATCTGCGCAGGCGCAGCAGGAACCCAGTTGGTTCCACTCAAAATACAAATACATTTTGACCCAAATCAACACATTAAACACTTATTAGGCACTATAGCTTTGGAAATTAAATAATTTCCACACTGTGGCCGGGCGGAAGTCGTTGTTAGACGACTTAAATTGCGTCTTCCTCCAGTAGACGATTCCAGCCCTCTCTGGATTGCACTGCTGTTTTCCTAGTGGGTCTTACTACAATTTCTTCTTGCATTACTCGGTCAGTGTCTTCAATATCACTCGTGTCACTTTCCCTTAGATTTCCATCTGCACTGGATTGAACACCATTTAATTCTAAGGGAATTAATTTATTAATGGTATGCAAACTTTCCTGACCACGACAAAACACTTTGACGTTTCTGACAACACCTTGTGCATCTGGGTATAATGTAACTACCTTGCCCAGAGGCCACAATGTTCGATGTTGTTCAGTATCAATTATCACAATGTCACCTGGTTGAATGTTCTGTCGGTTTACTGCCTCTGGCGCACCATAAAAGTGTTCACGTAGTGTAAGAAGATATTCTTTACGCCACACATCGGACCAATGAGTAATTACCTTATTTAACATCTTGAACTTATCACTCAACACGGTCACGTTATTGTAATCCTTATCACTTCCCTCGGGATTATCTCTATAGATAGGTGCAGCTTCTAACCTTCGTCCGCATATTAGGTGAGAGGGAGTCAGGATCTCCGCGTCAGGAGTGTCGCTCATGTATGACAGAGGGCGATTGTTTACCCGATTCTCTGCCTCCACCAACACTGCACGGAATTCCTCCAAATTAATTCTCTTCCTGTGTAGCACCTTACAAAGACATCTTTTCACTGTACCTATCATTCTTTCGTACAGTCCTCCCTGCCAAGGGGCTCTGGGAGTAATAAATTTCCAGACACACCCTCGCTGGGTCAACAAAGACTGTACCTCATCACTCTTATTTAATTTCATCAAGTGTTGAGCACCCGCTACAAAATTGGTGGCATTATCTGAGATCATCAATCTTGGACAGGATCTCCTAGCTGCAAATTTCGGGAACAGCTGTATGAACCGTTCTGCAGACAAGTACTGAGCCACTTCTAGATGAACAGCCTAGTTGCTGTACAAGTAAATAGACATACATTCACCTTCAAGGGAACACCATCTGAAGTACCTGTTAAAATGATTGGCCCACTATAGTTCACTCCGGTCACATCAAATGGTTTTACCAACTGCACGCATTCCTTGGGCAATGGTGGAGGACCCGGGTACATGTAGGTTCTGGCATCCACCCGGCGACATATTACACACGACTTGATAACCCTTTTCACACTTTGCCGTCCTTGTGGAATCCAGAAGGTTTCCCGAATACAGTTTAAGGTATCCTGTACCCCACCGTGCATCACGTTATTATGGGCATTAAAGACAATCAAGGTTGTCAGGTGATGAGTTTTGGGCAGCAAGATAGGGTGCTTAGCATATTCCCCCAATTCAGCATTTTGTAACCTGCCTCTGCACCTAATTACATCATCCTCTAAATACAGCCCCAGCTTTTCTATTATTGAGCCTTTCACAATTTTTCCGTCCATCATTAATTTAATCTCATCCCTGTAGGTTTCTTCTCGTACCCTCTGTTTACCTGGAGTTTACCTGGAGAGAGTTCCGGGGGTCAACGCCCCCGCGGCCCGGTCTGTGACGAGGCCTCCTGGTGGATCAGAGCCTGATCAACCAGGCTGTTACTGCTGGCTGCACCCAAACCAACGTACGAGCCACAGCCCGGCTGATCAGGAACCGACTTTAGGTGCTTGTCCAGTGCCAGCTTGAAGACTGCCAGGGGTCTGTTGGTAATTCCCCTTATGTATGCTGGGAGGCAGTTGAACAGTCTCGGGCCCCTGACACTTATTGTATGGTCTCTTAACGTGCTAGTGACACCCCTGCTTTTCATTGAGGGGATGTTGCATCGTCTGCCAAGTCTTTTGCTTCGTAGTGAGTGATTTTCGTGTGCAAGTTCGGTACTAGTCCCTCTAGGATTTTCCAGGTGTATATAATCATGTATCTCTCCCGCCTGCGTTCCAGGGAATACAGGTTCAGGAACCTCAAGCGCTCCCAGTAATTGAGGTGTTTTATCTCCGTTATGCGCACCGTGAAGGTTCTCTGTACATTTTCTAGGTCAGCAATTTCACCTGCCTTGAAAGGTGCTGTTAGTGTGCAGCAATATTCTAGCTAGATAGAACAAGTGACCTGAAGAGTGTCATCATGGGCTTGGCCTCCCTAGTTTTGAAGGTTCTCATTATCCATCCTGTCATTTTTCTAGCAGATGCGATTGATACAATGTTATGGTCCTTGAAGGTGAGATCTCCTACATGATCACTCCCAGGTCTTTGACGTTGGTGTTTCGCTCTATTTTGTGGCCAGAATTGTTTTGTACTCTGA